TGAATAATTTTGGCTGCAAATTCCACCCTCCCAGAAAAAAAAGGCTGATGCTCAGACTGGAAATTTTCCTAAATGGAGAAGTTTAGCAGTTATAAGTAATTGAAAAAAGCCCAGAAAGTGACACATCCTCAGTATGCAGAGCCACAATCCCCACTGCAAGGATGCTACATTTGCCTCAAGATCCTGGGTGCATGTATAACTCGAGATTTGCTCCTATTATTTAACATGGCCATCTAAAACATTCTACACAAATGCAGCCTTGTTATTTACTTCACTAGTTTACATATAAATAAAGGATTGAGGAAATACCATTAAAAAGAACAAAACACAAAAGTCTCACCGATAAGCAATTTCATCTGCCACTTTTTCCTCAGAATCGTCTTCAGTAATCTCATACCTCCCTTTATAATTCATCTCTTGTCTTTCACCTACTCTCTCCTTAACAGGCCGTTTCCGTTTGAGATGACCTTTTCCATTTTCTTCCTCCTTTGCCACTGATCTTTTGTCATCCTGCATGTATTCATCCAACTCTTTGTCTAAAGATTCCACCTCCTCCTGAGCTTGCTTCATAAGTTTTTTGGCCAACAAGTAATTATAAGTCTCGGACTGCCTGCTCTTGTCAATACTACCTTCCATTCCTAAAATCCCAAGTTCAGTGGCCACTGCATCCTGATTTTGTTCCTGAAGCACTGAGCCCCAAATGTTGTTGATCTTTCTACCTCCTACAGCAGTTGTTTGCTTTTGCTGGCTCTGATTAAACTGAAAAGGCTCTTGTTTCACAGGAGGATGGTTAAAACATTTCTGTCGTTTCCGTTTCCAGAAACTATCATCATCTGAATCCGAAAAACTGTCCTCGCTGGAGTCCACACTTTTGGTTGTCCGATAAGGAATAGCTGGTGCACATCCTGAAATGTTGCCCTGGAAAGGTCTAGCCGCATTGTTATCATCCTGTGGCTTCTGAAATACAAAAGTTAATTTTATAAATTAATTCTCATTCATTAAAAAAAGGAAAAAAGTAGGGCTGATGTTACTAGGGTGTTGTTATGGAATTGCTGTATTTTTAATGTCTCACATGGAAGTAAATGGCAGCACTTGCCATTAGGGCAGGGGTGAGCAAAATGTGGCTGGGGGCCGGATGTGGCCCACCAGACCATTCTATCCGGCCTGCGGGGCCCCTAAAAAAATTTAGAAAATTAATATTTGCCTGCCCCTGGCTGCCTATCATGTGGCCCTCGATGGCTTGCCAAAACTCAGTAAGCGGCCCTCCACCCAAAATAATTGCCTGCCCCTGCATAAGGGTCTATAGCTCTTACCAAGAGTTATTAATTTATCCCTCGGTCCCTTCCAACCCTAATTTTCTATCATTCTATGATTCTATAATCTTAATAACTGTACTCTGCCCAGATAAAAAAAGCAAGCTAAGGAGATTGGAAAAGCTAGTCCATCCAGTTCGACTCTGGGGAGAGAGCAGGTGTTAAAATAGAAATTCCCAAACAGGACAAGAAAAGAGACAAAGCAAGGGGTTAAAAGAGACTCAAAGGAGTAACAAAAGGTTACAAAATAACAGGCGAATCAGAGAAATAGGGCTGGAAGGGACCTCCAGAGGTCATCTAATCCAACTCCCTGTCTGAAGCAGGATCATTCCTATCCAGGCCAAAAATCTAAGAGAAGGGGTGGGCATCTTTTTTGACAGCCAGGGGAAGGTAGTGGCCTTTTCAACAAGTCAAAAGAAACTACATTGGAGCAAAGATAGAGAGGGACTCCCCAACCGAGAAGACAAGCCACAGCCAGCAGGGAAGGACTCTGGATGGAGCTAACTGGGAATTCCCCAACAAAATGAAGAGCTTTACAAAAATGGTGGTTCACTGAGCCTAAAATGTCTTGCATGAGATTAACTTTTCTCAAATCCAAGGCCTAACATCAAGGAAACCCTGCATGGATTCTTGTCAGTTCTGCTCCCAGCTGGTGACCCTGGAAGATTCACAGGGTGCAGCTCCAGACCAGTCTGTTAACTGGTCTGCTCCAGCTGTAATCCCTGGAGCCCCTGCAGCAAATCAGTGAAATTGAAAGAACATAATTTTCACCGCTGGCATTAACAGGAAAATTAACAAGAATGACAACTCCAAGAAGCAGCTGTAGGGTCTGGGCAGCTTTAGGTTTGCTGGAAATTCTGGACAGTTTGGCTTCAATCTCATCTGAACCAAAATCAAATTTCAAGATTTCCTATGAAGCAGAAACCCCCTTTTGGGCCAGATCCAAATTCAGAATGTCCCAAATCTCCAAAGTGGTGAGAGAACTGAGGTAGGGAAACTAATACAAGATTTACTATTATCTAGCATCGTGCATTTCTTATGTTGTCTTAATAAAGAGCTATATGTTTCTAAAATTCAGGCAAAGTCCATCTTTTTGTCTCACTAAACACATACCGCTGCAGAGGGAAACTGTTAGGGGTGCACTGATAAAGATCTTTTGGGTCAATACTGATGGCCGATTACTAACGAGCCACGTTGGCCGATAACCATCCCATTGCTGATACGCAGCCTGGCAGCTTGGACAGCAGCATCTGGCTGCTAAGTCTGCTAGGCGGGGAAGGAAAGGGGCAGAGGTGAGAGGTGCAGATTGAGGCCCCTGCAATGAGGGAGTGAGGCTGGGGCTGGGGCAGGCACTGCCAAGATGGGGTAAAGCATGGGATGGAGCTGCAAGTGGCTCGTCTGGAGGGGTGGGGGCAGAGAATTCTGTTACACGCACCCCCGGGGAAGCATGTGCCCCCCAGATCTGTGCACAGGGTGAGGGCAGGCTGCTGCTGTGGGTTGGAGCTGTGGGCAGCACCAAGCTCTTCCCAGCAGCAGGGGGGCTGGGCCAGGGCTGTGCTTGGGCCAAAGAAGCACTGGTGGTGCTGGGGTGGGGGAAGGGGGCTATAGGGTGGGGTATGGCCACCTCAGAATTTGTCATAGCCCCCCCCCCCAGTGCCACCACTGCCTGCTCTGAGCGCAGCCCCAGCCCAGTCCCCTCAAGCTGGGAAAAGGCCAGTGCCCCTTACAACTCCAAGCGAACAGTGAGCCTGCCCTTGCCCTGTGCACAGATCCAGGGGGCAAATGCTCCCCCCACCCCCGATGCCTTCCTCAGGGATGTCTGCAGCAGCAGAAGCTATCCCCCATTCCCTGCACCTGCCTTCTTCCCCCCCCACCATGAACTGCTTGCAGCTCTGCCCAGCCTCAGCCCCACTCTCTCCCTCACTGCAGCGGCCTGATCTGCACACCCCCCCATACCCCTTTCCTTCTCCAACAGACTTACCAGTTGGATACTGCTCTCCAAGCTGCCAGGCTGGCTGCACACACGCATGCGGCATTTATTGCCAACATTATCAGCCACATCAGCCAAAAAAAGCTGATTGCCAATAATGTCAATTTTCCTTTTATCGGTGCCGATACTATATGGGCCTATGTACTGGTGCACCTCCAGAAACTATAAACCAGAGGGCACTCACCTAGCTAGTGTTCTGGGTGACATGTACCTAAATTATAGGGGTAATGGTGTCAGCAGTGGTCTAGGGGGCATAACAATTTTGAATGTAGTTTTCGGTCTCAGAAAAGGGCAGTAAATAAGGGTTTGCATCCCGAGCGAGCAGCCTATCAAACTTACTGGAGAACAGGGCCTGGAAGAAAATCAGAGCACATGGATCCAGTTAATTCTGACCAAACACAGCAGACCCGTGAATGTCCAGCTGGGGAAATCACTGTTGAAGCCCAGACAATTTACAGGAAAATCATTTTGAAACAAATACAGCTATACCCTACTTTTAGGTAGAAACTTTTATCCAAAGATTTCAAAGCATTCTACAGAAACCAAAAGTCACCCCATGAGGGTACCCTGGAGACTGCCTAATTGTTCCTTCCCATGTAGCCAATGAGTAAACTGGAAAATTCAAAAGCAACTCATTTACAGTTACACAGAGAACCTGTAAAGGCTGACAGTGATAACATCACCCAGAGTCCTGGCTCCCAGTCTTGGACTAACCAAAAGAATCTCAAAGCAAGCATCCCAGGACTTTGTCTCCATTACTAGTTCTCTGCCAGCATACTTGAGCCACCAAAACAGAGTGGCTAAAGCACATACACACCTGCACAGCTTTGCACAGTTCCACTATGGCAGAAGTGCTGGCAGGGCATGCATTCGCAGGGCTGGAGCAGCAAACAGAAAGCCGGGATACACCTACGTGCACCTTCTCTTGGCTGCAGGGTGGCCGAAGCCTTCTGCTGCTCATGTTACTTGGCTGACAGATGCAGGGCTCTGTCACCACACAGCAGCTGGGTGCAAACATGGCCACCCACTCTGTTTTGCCAGTCGGTCTACAGGGAAAGAACAGGCTAGGCCTCATTTGCCATCATTTTCAAAAGGTGATATTTAAGAAGAGGGACCAGGAAACAAAACAAGCTATGAAAAATTATCTTTTCTCCCTTTGATGAATCCATCTCCCTTGCTAGCCCAGCTGGCCTTGCACTGACTTGCCAGCATGACTGGGAGAGGGTGTTAGGGGTCACAGAAGTAGACACCTTGGTATCCCATATTTAACCTCTTTAAATCAGGAGGACTTTTGGTAGCCCAAGTGGCTCCAGGCACACTGCCAGGACACCTCCACCCGCTGAGCACCCACCTCAGCACCATGTTGGGGGGGGATACAGCTCAGAGAGGAAACAACCATCCCAATCACATGCACGAGGTGGCGCTGGCTGTCCAGTTACCCTAGCCCAGCTTCTTCTGCCTCCCCCTTTCCCAGGGGGGTCTGAGACCAGGACAGGAACCTAAAGTGAATTTAGCTACAACATCAAAGCCCCTTCAGGGCTTGAAGGCCCAGCAAAGGAGGCGGGGTAAGGCCGGGGGCTAGGGAAGGTGTTCCTGAACCCAAGCCTGCGGTTCCCAGGGCCCCTGACACGAGCACACACCCCAGAGCCACGGGGCAGCCCCATGGGGGCGCCAAGACCTCCCCAGCCCGCAGCCCCCCAGCGGCGGCGGTTAACTGGGGAGGATTCCAGAACGAGGCGCTGCCCCTCCCCCAATCCGCGCGCAGCCGGAGGGAGGGGTCAGGCGGGGAAGAGGATGCGGCGCTTGCAGCCTCTTCTCACCGGCGGCAACGGCCCGGGAGGGGCGGCGGCGGCCACAGGCATGTCGGAGTCCGAGTCGGAGATCTCGCCGTCCTCCACATCCTGCTCCATGCCCCGCGCCTCTAGCGCCATCTTAGCCCGAGCCGCTGCGTGCTGCCGGCGGGGTTGAGGCGGGGGAGGGGCAGGAACGCGAGCGCCGCGCGTTGCCGAGCGCGTTGCCGAGAAGAGCCAATAGCGCTGCTGCCCACCGCGGCGGGGGCGGGGCTGTCCCTGGCTACTGCAGGACCCGGACCGCCTTGCGCGGCCTACTCGCCCCGGCATGCCTTACGCCGGGCAGCCCAGCAGGGACTCTATGCCCCGGCATGCCTTGCGCAGCGCGAGCGGGCCGCGGGGCATGCTGGGCCTTGTAGTCACTGCCTTGGTCCCGCCGTCTACCGAGGGGTCGTGACAGGGGTTACAGCAATGCTCTGTGCCTATGACGCATCGCAGCCTTCCTCCCATCCTCTTGCCATGTCCTTTGACGTCGTGTTTGTACGTCACGGCGTTGCTACAGTCTGTTTCCGTGCTCGGGCTCACCACATGATATGATACTACATCATTGCTTGTGACGGAAAAAGCACCCCCCTCTGCCTACGGATCCGGGGGGCGCAGTCTCAGTGGCCCCACAGGCCTTCCTGCCATGTGCTTGTTTCCATCTAGCATCCACCTGCAGCTGTCCTACAGTCCTCCTTGTCCTTGGGCCCCCGCTCCATGGACTGCAGTCCCTCATTCTCTCCATAAACACGTTTTGGTAATAGCGCTTCGCAGTCAGGTGGCACCTACCTGGCGCGGTTACATTTGCAATATGGTCCATCATTTAACCCACAGCACAGTTAACATAAGAAGCCACTTATTGGGCGTGTCTACACATTCATTAATATGCCTTAGATTCTGCACATTTAGTTTAGCACCTCTTTAATGAAGTACTAAATGTGCAATATACCTAAAGTTGCTGCGCAGTAGTACTGGCAAACAGTTACTTAGTGACGCTTAGTGCTCATTAGCCTAATAATTCTGTGCAGTAAGCTATTAGCACGGTTTTTGCTGTGTTATTAGGCCAATGGGCAGTAAGCATCTCCTGCAGACATGCCCACTGTCTGGCCCTAATTTCCAGAGCCAGCTGAGAGAAAAAAAACCCGCAAAAGGGCTTCTGTAGTGAATGTCCAAATCCTGAAGTCCAAATTCATCAGGCCTGCAAGGAGCTGTACAGTGGAGCTTTTTGCAAAATCAAGGCTTTAGTCTCTAATTAGGGATACATTTCACTGATGGCAGTAGAAGTTTGCCTGAAAACTCTGGGATTTTTAATTGTAAATATTTTGTTCCCATTTTGGATGCATAAATGTGTATAAATCACAAAAACTGTAGCCAGCCAGAGACCTGTGACTTGGGTGCAGGGGGGGGAGTGCCCTCCCATGTAAAGCAGATACATAACTGATTAGATCATTGGACTTAACAAAAAGTTATCAATGGCTCAATGTCTAGTTGGGAGGATATATCAGGCAGAGTTCCCCAGGGGTTTGTCCTGGGTTAAGTATTGGGTAATATCTTCATTAATGTTTTGGACAAGGGGATCAAGTGCATACTTAGCAAATTTGCAGCCGGCACCAAGTTGAGTGGACTTGCTGACACTGTGGAGGGTAGGGCTAGGATCCACAATGACCTGGATAGACTGGAAAAATGGTCAATCAATCAGATGATACTCAACAAGGACAAGGGCAAATTCTTGCATCTGGAATGGAATAATTGCTTGCACAAATATAGGTTGGGCAATAATTAGCTAGACTGCAGTACTGCAGAGAAGGCTCTGGGGGTTACAGTTGAGCAGAAATGGAACACGAGCCAATAAGTGCATTCTTGCTGCAAAAAAAGTCAACATCGTACTGGATTGTATTAATAGGAGTCTCCTGTGAATTAAGGGAAGTGATGGTTCCTTTCTGTTCAGCACTGGTGAGGCCTCATGTGCATGGGCAACTGGTGCCACCTGTGTCAGGTGGCCAGTCAGTGACTGGGGCGGGGGGTCCCCTGTGCCTGATCACGCTGACCAGGAAGCACAAGTGGCACTCCCAGAAGTGCCAGTGGTGTTTCACCTGGTGCCCCCACTTCCCGGCAGTAAGGACACCAGCACTCCTGCCTGCCCCTCCCCGCCCGTTGCCTAAGCGGGGAAAGCTGTCCGTCAGGGAGTATGCCAGCACTCTCAGGGGGTGCATGTGCACCCCCGTGCACCCCCTTTGCATCACCACTGCTCATGTGAAGTAGTACTGTGTTCAATTTTGGGCCCCACACCTGAAGCAGGATGTGGACAGATTGGAAAGAGTCCACAGTGCAGAGCACAAAAATGATGAGGAGCCTGGGAAGCAAAATTTAGAAGAAAGGCTGAAATAACTAAGTTATTTAGTTTACAGAAGATAAGAAAAAGGGGGGATTTGGTAACAGTCTTCAAATACCTAAAGGCAATTACAGAGAGGATAGAGATGGGCTTTTCTCTGAGGCTGAAGAGGACAGGGCTAGGAGCAATGGCCTAAAGATTCAGCAAGGGAACTTTAGGTTGGAGATTAGGAGGAACTTTCTGACCATGAGGATAGTCAAACATTTGGAAGTGCTGCCTACAAAAATTGTGGAATCTCCATTGTTGGAAATTTTCAAGAGCAGGTTGAACAGACATTTGGCTAGGATGGTTAGTCAGGGCTGATCCTGTTTTGAGCAGGAGGCTGGGTTAGATGACTTCATGAGGTTCCTTCCAGCCCTGCTTTCCTATATGTCAGCCCCAGTGGCTGAGTGGTTAGGCCATTTGTCCAGGGAATAGGAGAGAGATTTTAGGTTACCACCCCAAAAGGGGTTGATGTAGGTCTCTGACAATGCTCTAACTACCATACCGCAAATCAGGTGTTATACAGCTCCCTCTTCAACCTTCCTTTTGGAGCTGACCCACTGTCCTTTGCATTTAATAGGCATCAGATAAATGAACAGAACAAAGCAGAAGTTTCTGCTTCATTGAAGAGCATGAGTCCAGGCTCAAACCTAGGTCCCCCTCAATCTAGAGCATTAGGCATCTCAGTGAGATGCATACCCTTCTAGCTTGTCCCCACATACCTCCTCTTGTCCCCACATGTTGGCTGCCCAGAAGGGCCGGCTTCAAAAGGAATGCTAGAGAGAGACCTGGAAAATACCTAACCCATGGTATGTTAGCTACAACACTGAACTGGAAACTCAGAGAAAGAAACAGGTTAAAATCCCCCTGGTCAGGGTGACTTGGAACCCTGGCCTCTTGCTTCTAGGCAAGTACCCCAACTACTCAGCTATTGGGGCTGAAACATAAGAGGGCCATGCTTTCTCCCAGACTTATGCTCAGGTACACTTGTACATAGCTATGTACATACGTGGCCAGTGTGTAGCCTACTGAGTATGCTCAGTCTATGCATGCATGCTTGTGCACCTGCAGTGCAGAGATGGGGCTAAAAGTATCTTGGTATGTATCTGGAAAACTGGCATTTAGTCTCACAAAAGGAATTTGAATTCTGCCCAAAGTGACTTGCCAAAGGTCACACAGGCGATCCGTAGTGGAGCAATCTAGTCTGTAATGCAAAGAATCCTTGCAGATGCTGTGGCTTTAAGGTCATTGTGAATCAGTCCTTTGAGCACTGGGCCTTGTTCTGAAAAGACAAGATCTGTGCAATATTTTCAAAATATTGATAGCACAAACATTAACAATTAATTAGTGAATTAATTAGTAAATGTCTCCTTTCAAAATTCTACAGGCTGGATGTGTTACCTACTCTTTAGGTAGCAGTTTCAGAACTTCAGTACTTAATGCTGAAAGACAGCCTAGTGACAAAGTTATATACAGGAGTGTACGTCTCCAGTCTCTTTTTATTGTCCCTTTGACAGGTGTCAGAGTCAGAACTTCTGAACTAGATCTCTCTGAAGTTTCAGTTGGGTTTCCTGAGTTCATAATCTGTGAGGCATCTTGTCATTTTCAAACACAGAGAGAAGCTTGGGATCCTTTTCTTTCTGGGTGTTCATTGTGTCAGTGAATGGTAGGTCATGACAGTTATGGCCACAAAGGTCTCTTAATTAAGTGTATCAAGTATCACTCTAAAGATATGCCCTTACCTGATTCACCCATGGGGCTGCTGAAGTTCCAACTTCATCAGAGACTACATAGCTTGCAGCCAACTGGAACTTGTTTGATCTTAGGTATTCAGCTAACCTTTTAGGAAACAGGCTTTCATCAAGAGCTACAGCTAGTTGAAGACTGACTGACTGACTTGAGGGATTCCCAGCTACAGAACTTTTTACCTCTGGGTCACAAGTTCAGATACAACCTAGGTCAGTAGTAACTGAAATTTGTTTTCTGATATGTTTTCGGTGGATTATGTAAAAGGAATTGACAGCTTCATTTTAGTGACAACTGGCACCCTTTTTGGTAGTCTTAGCAGAGTGGGCAGTTATTGAATAGCCACAGAGACTACCTAATCATCTATAAAAATAGTCCCTGCAGTTAAAAAGGTACGTTATCACGTAGGGTAAGGAAGCATGTACTGCTTTTCCCTTGGCTGCACTTGTCCTATTGGTAGACAGAAAACTTTAACCTTTAGTGAAAAGGTTAGGTATCTTTCAGAAGACCTAATTTCATTTTAAAGTAATATTACATCAAGTTATTTCCCCACTCCCAGCTATAAATAGGCCACTACCGTTTATACACAAGGTAAATATACTTCATATAAAGCAAATACAGACCAGCCCTGCACTCACTGAAATCAATGTTATATTTTGTTCTGGAATTGACTATGTAGCATGTTTGTTTGTCCTAAGGATTTTTATGAAATCACCAACAGATTACACTTTGAGTTTGGAAGTCTTTTTATAGAACATGCAGTTTTATTAATGTGTAATTCTTTTGTGTTGCTTTCTTGGACCAATATGAACATTTTTTCTGGAATAACACTATCACCTACTTCACACAGAGCACTTATTTGCAGTTGCCTTATAAAGGATATTGGTATTAAATGCATTGCACAGAAGGGAAAACTGAGAGGGAAAGTGACAAAAGTCATTCAACAGATAAACCTGAAAGTAGAACCCAAGTTTCCTAAATCCCAGTCCAAGGGCACTCACATAGCTAGGAATGAATTTATCCTTTGATGAATTAAACACTGTGCACCCCACTGACTGCCAAT